AAAACAAGGACTTTAATAAGTGGGATTGTTCAAACCGCATGAGTCTTATGATCATGAAGCGTAGTATTCCAGAATCATTCAGGGGCGCTGTGTCCGATAAGGTAACTACTGCCAATAAATTTCTTGCTGAAATTGAAAAAACGCTTTGCAAAGAGCGATAAGGCTGAAACTAGTACGCTTTTGGCATACTTAGTTTCACTAAGGCATAAAAGCAAAGGAAATATTCGGGAGTACATTATGGAGATGTCTCATATTGCTTCAAACTTAAAGGCTCTAAAGCTTGAGCTATCTGATGATTTGCTCATGCATCTGGTTTTAATTTCTATTCCTGCACAATTCAAGGTCAGTTATAACTGTCAAAGGGATAAATGGACTCTAAATGAGCTCATTTCATACTGTGTGCAAGAAGAAGAAAGGCTGAAGCAAGAAAGGACTGAAAGTGCTCACTTGGCTAGTACATCTAAGGACAAGTTAAAGAAAAGAAAGAATAAGAAAGCTGCATTCGGTTCGGTTCAAAATTAACAGCGAAATAAATTTAGTTGTAAATTTTGTGAAAATCTGGGATATATAAAGAGAGATTGTGCTAAATGCTACGCTTGGCGTGTAAAGAAAAGTACATTTCTCACTTTGGTTTGTTTTGAGGTAAATTTAATGTCAATATCAAGACACACTTGGTGGATAAATTTCGGTACCACCACTTACATAAGTGTGTCTATGCGGGGTTGTCTGAGCTGCCAAAGCCAATTGATGCTGAAAGATTCATCTATCTGGGGCGATGGCAAATCAGTTAAGGTTGAGGCTTTACGGAATTTAGGTTATCATTAAAGACTGATTATTATTTGAATTTGAAAGAGACATTTACGGTACCGTCCTTTTGGATGGAATTTGGTTTCTATTTCTACATTGGACAACTTTGGTTACTCTTGTTCAATTAGAAATAGTCAGTTTGATCTTTTTCTTAATTCAAATATTGTGGGTGTCAGTTCTTTATCTGGTTACGATAACCTATGTTTGCTTAATACGGTTGCCTCTTATAAAGAAACCTTGTATTTGGATTTACGTGGTATTGAACATAAATTAACCAATGAGAATTCTGCTTTGTTATGGCACAAGCGATAAGGTCACATCTCTCAAAAGAGAATGGAAAGATTTGTGTCAGAAAGAATTCTTGATTCCCTTGATACTTTCAGACTTAAGTAAATTATATTAAGGGAAAACAAACAAACATAAGGAGATTAGGTGCCAATAGGACTTCGGATGTCTTAGAACTAATTTATACGGATATCTGTGGATCATTCCCTTCGGCTTCTTGGAATGGTCAACAGTCATTTATTTAGTTCATAGACGATTTTTTCTCAATATGGCTACCTATATTTCATCTATGAGAAATCCCAAACACTGGACATGTTCAAAGCATACAAGACTGAGTTCGAAAATCGACTCAGTAAAAGAATTTAACAAGTCAAATCTTACCATAGTGGTAAATACTATGCCAAGATATGACGAATCAGGAGAACAATGTCCAGGACCTTTTGCAATATTCCTAGAGGAATGTGGAATTTACCCACAGTACATCAGGATCCTCCTAGGTTTAAAGCACTAAAGACTGCAGCTTAAAGTCTCAACAAAGTTCCAAGTAAAGTAATTGTTAAGGGGTTACAAATTTTTAAAGGTCCCACTACCAGGTCAATTTTCGAAACGGGAAATGTTCGATTTCTTGAGGATGTAGAGTTTGTGAGGGGAGATAAGGTTATAAGGTTATGATTTTGTCTTAGATGAAGAATATTTATATATTCCTTCTGTTGCAATTGACAATGATTTGGTTCAGGGACAAATTCTTGCTCCAGATCTTGTTCAAGAAGCAATTTCGGATCAAGACAATATTACAAAATCCCCCATACACAATCAAGAGATTGTTCCAGAAAAACAAACTCAACAACCTCAAGAACAAATGTCATTAAGGAAATCCACTATAAAAGAAGAAAGACAATTCTGGATAACTTTATAGTCTTTCTCCAAGAAAATAAGGATGACATGGATTGACGAAAGAATGACTTATCAATCAACTTTCATCAAGCCATGCAAAGGAATAATTCTAAAGAGTGGATTGATGCCATGCATAAAGAGATTTTTCTTCGGTTTCTATGAAAACTCTTTTAGGACAATTATGGCTTCTGTGACATATTTTGGTCTTAAGTTGCATTAGATGGTTTACAAATTAAAGAAATCCATCTATGGGCTTAAGCTGGTTTCCCGAATAGGTATCACAATTTTATCAAATAATTATCTCATTTGGTTTCGAGATACATTCAATTGATGATTGTGGATATCACAAGTTCAGTGGGAGTAAGCAAATCTTTGTGATGCACCTTTTGTATTAAGGATATAGATACACAAGAATTGTTCTTGGTGTATTTTTGGGTAATCACAAAAGAGTTGTATCAATAAGGTTCTTAAAAGATTTGTAATGCAGATATGAAAATCAAGTAATACCCCTACAATTAAGGGAGACAACTTTAGTCTCAATTAATGCCCCAATGATAAATTTAAAGATAAAGGATATACATCAGATTCTCTATGCTTTGGCAATTGAGAATTTAATGTATACTCGGGATAGCACACATCCGGATATAGTATTCTTTGTTGGAATGCTAGGCAGATATTTAATTAACTTGCGATGGAAATTTGGAAAGCAGCCATCAGGTTATTCGGTATCTATAGAGAACAAAGGATTACATGATCACATTCAGGAAAATCAGACCAATTGGAGATCGTTGGATATTCTGATTTTGATTATGGAATTTGACTGTAAAATATTGTCACTAGGCTGCATATTTTGGATAGAAATGAAAGACCACTTAAGTTATTTTGTGACAATAACAGTCTTGTATTCCAATAGGAACATGATGATGTCAAAGTTTATAGACATTGAGTTCCTAATTGTTAAGGAATGAATTCAGAGTGGTCAGGTTTCTATAAAGCATATAAGGACAAACTCTATAAATATGGATCCATTTACTAAATGGCTACCACCCGAGGTCTTTCATGAGCATGGTGCTCACATGGGTGTTGCATCTTTTGATGATATGCCAGTTTAGTGGGAGTTTGTATTTTGGATGTTGTCTTTTGACACATAATTTCGGTTGTGCACATTCAGTTCATTTCAGAAATAAAGTATTCAGTTCAGTTCCACTCTGATTAAAGTTTATGGTTGATCTCATAAGGTATTAAGGAATAAGGCAGGACCAGTTGGAAATAGGCATGTTTAGATCACATTACATGTAATTTCCATGCTACACATCCACACTTGATCTATGTCATTTGATTGTATTGATATACGTGACCATTGATGGGTTTAGTTATGTTACTTATAACGAAGACCGCTTTGATCCTATGTTGATATAATCAATGGACGAGATTGTTCGGAGATGCTTTTGGTTATGATAGCAAAAGTTTTGAGCTCATAAGGTTATACACATTTATAAGGTAACATATGTGGCCCAAGTGGGAGATTGTTGGGAAATTATTTAATTTCCCGTGATGGGCCGACATATGTAATTAACTGTGTATAAATACTATCTTAAAGTTAAGCCCAAAATTAAAGTAATCTAATAAGGAATTAAGTAATTGGGCTTTAAGCATCTAAATAAAGTGTGGGCCGGACTATATGTATAGAGACCGGATCTATTAGGGTTTGTATTTGACGATGGACCGAATACATATGGAAATATATAAAGGATTATGGTCCCCAATTCATGTGTGATTTTCTTATTCTTTGTGGCATCCCATCAACACAAGAATACAAGAGAAAGCATATGAAGAAGAAGATCTATAAGACCCACAATCAGGAATTAAGATGGAAATTTGAAGCAACCAAATTGAAAATTTACAGATCCAGATTCAAGATTCATTATTCAAGTCAGAAATCAATTGATTAAGGTATGTTCCGCGTTAATTCAGTTTCTTGATGGTTTGACATGAAGATTTTGGCGAGATCATAAAGTTTAAGTTTTAATAAAGTTCCAACAGTTTCTTCTCAATATTCTTTTCTTTCTCGTCCTCCAATGTTCGCCTTTCGACTTCAATTTAAAATCTCAACTTCTTTTCATTTTCTTGCCAAATTTTACCAATGTAATTTAAGTTCGGATATTTTGTCCTACAATCATGAAAATGAGCTAAAAATCAATAATAATAAACTCCAACACAAATAAAAAGACCTTGCTTAGAGGTAGACATAATTGTAATAATCATGTCATTCAATTGATAATACAATGGAACTACAATGAGGAGTGAATTTCTAATTCGTGTTTCCATGATAGCCTTAGATGCCCACCACAAAAGGATCACGTCAAGGCTTAAACTACTGTGAGCATCTTCAATGCTAATATGAGGGGCTGTCTGCTAACGCTTAAAATCAGGGAAAATTGGCTTTTTTTTACCGTTACGTTACAAAAAGTGGGGCCATCATCTCATAAAATTGGTCAACACTTGCGGCTCAACGTTCCAAATTCTGATTTCAAGCCAGCCCAGGCAGCCCCTGAATTGCATTTGGAAAATTCGTTACGTAATAGATAATGCTCATAAAAAATCCTCTCGTCTTCGGTACAATATTAATGGGTATCTATCTAGGTGACATGACAAAAAATAGACATCGTGAAATTGTTCGTCTAGATGCAGTAAAACTTGAACTTGATAATCAATACCACATTGACTAAAAGTCTATCTATTCGTCCAGGTAAGCTGCAATATGTGGAACGCATAGTAGGTAGATACCTGCCTTCTTCCACACGTAAACGGCATTAAGGAATTCCAAGTCTTTGTTGCGTTTTGTTTCCGCTCTGTGACAGAATGAAGTCTCGGTCTCCGTCTACGCAGAGGAGGCCAAAATAACAATAGTGTTTTCTTCAGTAAGTGGTCTGAATCAAACCCCAAGGCGCGTTGCGGACAATAGATGCATTTAAAGAGACGACGCCATAGACAAATGCTCCAACTGAATAAAAATGTCGAAATCGAAGCAAACCCATGTAGGAAAACCCAGCCTAGAATGTATAGGAGAGGACCTCATTCAGAATATACTATGCCGGCTGCCGGCCTCAGCCTTCGCATCGGCGGCGTGCGTTGGCCGCTCTTGGAATTCTACATGTAATCGCATCCTATTTTCTTCCCCTAAGCTTTCATCGGCCATTTCTTTCAACCCTTCGCTTGAGGTACTGTAATAATTAGAATAGTGAATTTTTTTGCTGATGGCATTTTGGGAGCTGAATATTTTAGTACTCGTATTAAATTATGGCGAAATGCTTGGTTTTGAATAGATGATTAGTATTAGTAAACGAAACTCATCATTTTCCTTGCATATATTTTATTATTATTCTAATTACTCAAATTGAATGTACTGGTCCATTTTTTTATATGTATAAATATGTGTGTTGTTGACTTTAGATCCATTTATTTAGCCGTACATATTCTTTCAAAACTCATTTTTAACCACACATTTTTTACTAAAATAATATTTTCTATTATATCAATAACTTTTCCTTACTTTTTAACCACATATTTCCCATCATATCACTGTTTAAAATACATTATTTTCTCAATAATATCCATCAAACTCACCCTTAATTGGAAATGAATTCTCGAGGAATTTCAACTGACTAGAGATTTATTTTGCCTTCTTTCCATATTAGCTTTTATGGAAAAGTGACTATTGTGTCACTTCGACCAAATATTCGGACTCGATTCAATAGTCAAATTATAAAAATAAATAGGCTAACTTGTTCTACTCGTCGAGTAGATCGTAGTGGTATATTTGAAATCTCTAAACCAATTTTGGGTGAATAAGAAATTAAGGTCTAAAGTTGAAAGAAAAAAAGATAAGAAACTGGATGGGTATTTATCTAAATCCGTCACTCGCCTAGCGCTCGAGCGGTGAGGCTGTCATTTGAGCAATAGGCAATAGAGCCTCTGTTTCTGATGCTTGAGCGACGCAAGGGCGACAGCAAAAGTTGCCACTCTTAGCAAAGGTTGCAGAGTTTTGGAGCGCGACATTTCAATCACAACTTTTCCTCCTCTATGAATAAGACCATTGGGACGCCCATTTCATCATCCCAATGATACGTAATCATAGCATAACATAAAATTCGATATTTTCTTAGCCAAAACTTTGTATAAAAACCGTTTTCCATTTCATTCAAAAGGAGTACAATAACCTAATTTTGGTTTGTTGATTCTTGTGTTTTGGAGTGCTACTAACACAAGAAGATTGTCGTTGTATCTTGGGAGTTGATTACCATCATCCGTAGGCACCATTGCCGAGCAAATTCGACTTAAGGACAAAGAGTTTAACTCTTACCTCGACTTTGCATTCATTTCACTTTGCATTATTTCGGCATCATTTTTCTTTGGTGTTTATTACTCATTTCCTTGTCGCTACTCTGTTCAATTTTTGGTAAAGTTGGTAAGTTTGATTTTTGGTTTAAAGTCATCATTCAATTCAATTTTTATTCGACAATTTCAACTGAATAGAGAATTTCAGCTTTAGAATTGTTCCACAGTTCCCATCAAACAAATGGAGATATACTTCAAATAGGAGTTGTGTTAGTTCAAAACATGAGTAATAAAAATCAATATTCTTTTCAAAATTTTCTTACTTTCAAGTTTATCTTGTCTCTTGATCCAAATCTTGTGCTGATGATTGTAGGAAGCTGTGAATGAAGTTATAAATAAAGTTTTATCTAAGCCCATACGACCTCAATTTGCCCTGGCCTCTATTGGCTCCTCATTTAGCTTGGAAGAAGCTCACCAACTCGTATGGTCTCTTTTGTTGTTACATAAATGTGTATACACACGTTTGTCACTTCATTGCAAGCCAGATACTCAGTAGAAGTTGATGTTCTACAGATTACTGAAAAATTTGCTCCAGAGATTCCAGTAATTGTCAATTGCCCGGAGGGGATTATTGGGAGAGAGGCACTTACAGATGAGTTTTTAGAGGTAATATCTGATTATTATGGTAATTTTCAAATGAAAACTTCATGCAAAAAAGTTTCAAAGTTCGAAGCATAAGGTTCCCTTGGCTCTTACCTTTCTCAATCATTGTCAAACACATGACTATGGATTCACTAAATTTTTTTATTGTTCTAGGTTCAACGGAAAGTAGCTGAGGGTGAAGATCATGGTGGGGCTTCACCTGATCAGAATGTGAACCAAGGCATCATATTGATAGTTGGTTTTTTACCGGGATTAAAGGCCCATATGTTGCCGTTGTTTTATCAAGAGAAGGTAAATCTAATGTCTATAGGTCAGTAAGACAAAATAAGTTTGGTGCATCAATTGGATTTCATGTCAATATCCATACAGATTGTTTCCAGATAATTTGCATTGTTCATACACTGGCAGGTTTCGTGACGACTCTTCTTTGTTGTTTGAGAGTTTAAAAATTATAATGTCTAATTCGTATAAAGCAATGAATAATTTGATATTGTTTCTTTTTATATATTTCAATATTTTACTTTCGGCATAATTTAATATGAGATGGGTGTCAATGCCAGTATCAGGCGCTTCTGATTGATGAATTTGTGACGGGCATCAAGGAATACACATCAATTGTTTCAGGGTTTGCATCTCCTGCAGCAATTGTTTTGTTTTCTGTGAGTTGATGGTCTTTTATGTTACTTTTTGTGCTGGTTCTTGCAAGTTCATCTGGTTTGTTTTTATCTGAACAAATTGGCCTATGCTTTTATATTCTATCATATAGTCCAGACTATTACTATTTACCAGTTTCTATAAGCCCCGCCCCTTAAAACTTAATTTCCTCTTAACTTTCAAATTTGGCTTTAACAATATCTTGCTTAGTTCACTCACAAAGTGAACACAAAATGGGTTTTACGTCAATTAGGTGCCTTCGTCCATTTTATCACGAAAGGTCAATAGGGCAGGTTAAAGCAGTTCAATAGTTGAAGACGATTTTGGAGACATCTAGTCGAAGGGCAATTCAAACTCGCAATAAACTTAAGGGGCATTTAGGTTCTTTTTTGTAGTTTCCAAAAAAGTTGTGTACTTGAATTTCTTTCTTACACGTGAAATCAATGATATCCCAGGGCCGGGAAACTGACATCAAACCTGTGCTACAGAAGTTGGGTGAGTAACTAAACTTACATCCATAAATGATAAAATGTTCAAGAAAGTGAAACAAAGACTCAGTACATGCTGACTCCTAATAAAACAACTGAACTTGCATTTTGTCTTTGATGTTTTAATAAGGACTTGAGGTGTACCCTTTCTGGTATTCTTTGTTTCTTGTTTTGCAGATCATGCCTTTTCCTTGGACACGGCAATTGTGGGTGATGGGGATAGTGACTTCTTATACCGAAGCGATGACAGAAACAATACAAACAGGAGATCCGCAGCAGTTGCCCTTCTATTTGTGAAGGAAAGAGACAAACCTCTAGGTTAGCTTATCCTTCACTTGTCATTACAAGTTTGTTAATTACCATAGGACTGAAATCTTTAAAATGTCAGCTGTCAAGAAAATGTTATCCACCACGTGGTTTTTTCGAGTTAGATAATACTAATATCTCCTGTTCTGGTTACATCTCAATGTGCAGGCATAGGGGAAACTAAATTTCATGTCATGCTATCAGCTGGCTTAATGCCAGTTGGTTCCACATACAAGGTAGTAGCTGCTGAATGCGATAAAAGTTCGACATGGCTCACTGCAACAAGAAACACACTTGATGACGCTCTTGATGGCCAAAGTATTTTAGATGAGATCTATAATGAGGTATCCACATTCAAACTTAAATACTATCTGGAGTTACTTCTAGTTGATCAAGCGAACATAGTATAATGTAATTAAAGTGGTTGGCATGGTATTGGTATTAGTGATCAAACTGGTAGGTTGTGACTGTGTCGTGTCAGTGGTAGAGAAAATTTTATAATAATTCTTCCTTTCAAGCTTTGAATCGGGTGATAATTATCGCCTTTCTGCTCAAAATAAATGAAAATTTCAATACAACTTCTCTCTTTTATAATCACTCAGTACTATAGGTATTCTTAAATTTTAAAAAGGTAATTGTTACTCCCGTAAATTACGTGGCACTATCTTGAAGGAAGGGTCCTACATTGTCGACGTGGCATTGACTTAGAGGGTCTTCTAAAAAGACATTATGAGATTCAGTCTAAAAGAGCCTCGGTTGAAGGGCCTCATCCACTTGTAAAGAGCCTCGACTGAAGGGCTTCATCCACTTATAAAGAGCCTCGGTTGAAGGGTCTCAATCACCTAGAAAGAGCCTCGACTGAAGAGCCTCATCCACTTATATAAAGCCTTGGCTGAGAGTCTCAAAGCCTTGGTTTTGGGCTTGGGCAAGGCCCATAAGCCATATGACCCATTTACATTTCCATTTTCTATATATATGTGAATCCATTTCATTTTAAGATATGTTCTTTAACCTTATCCTCTTCCCCTCTTCCTCTCTTGCACTTATATTTTCCTTGTCCGGCAGTTGACTTGACTGTCGGAGTGCGAACGGTCCCCACCTTTTTCTTGACCAGCGACCTTTGCCTCCTAACGGGGTGTTCAATGTACAGGTGATGTCCATGTGGAGGGATGTGGCGGGGATTTTGTTGAGCTCATTTTTTGGGGTCAACAGATTGGTGCCGTATGTGAAAAAATTAACATTTAACCACGAAACACGAGTGGAAAAAGAAAAAGATATGTTTTTGAGAAGTTTGGCGAAGAAATGTTCTTATCCTTGAAAAATGAATCAGCAAGAACTTGAAACTCCTGAAGAAAGGAACCAAGTCGTATATGAAGTAACCAAAAACTTAGTTCCACTAATGAAAATGCCTCTAGAAGAATGAGGGAATGCCCTGAAGAAGGAGAACCCTCACAAGCTGTCCCAACAGCCCAACCGAGACCTCCAATGCGCAGAAGAGGAGGTCCTAGGGGCGAAGGTGGAGTTGCAGCCAGGTTAACTAGAGAAATGGTAACAATGGCAGCCAACATAAGGAACATAACTCAGCAAAACCAAGCCATACATGAAATGTTGATGAATATGCGAGAACAAGGAGGCTATCAGGTTCCTTAATATACAGCCCCCGAAGACGCCTTCCCAAATGCTCGAGCATATTACCACGAGGAAGAGGAGGTCTACAGTCAAATGGCTGGACATCGCCATTACAGGATGGAAGCTCCTCAGGAAGACGAGGATGAGGTAGATTCGTCAACCAACCACACCTTAGAAAGATCGCAGGAAGACAGACCTCAGAGGTCCGGAAGCGTCTTCGACAGGATAAACCCAAAAATGCCTAGAAATAGGCAAGCTAATCCACCTCAGGTACTTAGCAATAAGTATGACGATGAAGTGCCTAATGTCAGTCCTTCTAGAAATAAGCGAGAACAGGCCAGGAGCGAGCGGGAACCTCCCAACCACCTCCCTTGATCAATCCAATGGAAAAAGAGAACCCGGATTGGCCTCAGTGGTCTTGTGACCTTGATGATAATAATGAGCATTCTCCTTTCTTCTAGGCCATAAGGAGTTCTCCTATGCTAAGCTACTTTATACTCCCAAAAATACAAAAAGTACAATGGGAAAGGCGACCCCGCCAAACATATGGACAATTACAAGATACATATGAACCTGAAGGGGGCCACCCCAGCGAAGAAATGCAAGGCCTTCCACTTGACCTTAAGTGGAGGGACAGAAATCTGTGCCTCCGGGCTACCAGAGGGAAACATCCGAAGTTGGCCGAAGTTCAAGAAAAAATTCTTGAAATGCTTCGCAACCAACAAAGAGAGGGAAAGACCCATCCAAAAGTTGCAAGATATGAGGCAACAACAAGGTAAATCACTAAAAAGTTTTACTTCGCGCTTTACCGATGAAATGACATATTGTGTGCAAGTCACGGATAAAGAAGCTTTAACTGCCCTAAGAGGAGGTCTAGACATGAACTCTCCTTTCTAGAGAGATGTGCAAAATAAGGACCCTGCCACCTATGATGCATTGTTGGAGATGATAAGGCGCGAAATCCTGAATGAGGAGCTGAAAGATCATAAGAATAGGGCTAGCCAGGATTTTCCGCCTCCACAAATGATAAGAGAAAGAGGTCCCACCTCCCACTTGATGGATAATCAAGCCCCAATGAATCATGGACAGGAACTTGCTGCTGCGACACTCAATGCAGTACCTACCCTCGTCTACGAAGAAGTAAATCTTAGCGCTGGAATACTCCCACGTCAGCCCAACCTTAAGAATTCACAAAGGGGGCGAGGTGCCGAACCTAGAAATAGGAATGAGGCACCACAATATTGCTCGTATCACCAGTCTAATGGACATCGGACAGAAGACGGCCAGGACGCTGCAAGATTCCCCCCCTCCCCCAGAAATGTTCCCAATAGGCAAAACCCACATCCTTGAAACAATGAACATCGTCGTCCTAACAGGATCGACCCTCCGTGAGGAAGGGATAATGACATCGAAGAACTAAGAGAAGGCTAGAGACAGCGACGATACCCCCCAGGCAATGAACATGAGCCCATCCGAGAGATCAATACGAACATTGGTGGTCCTCACGTGGGAGGAGATTCCAGAAACTCTCAGAAGAATTATGCCAGGAAGGCAGTCGACCTTGCTATGACGAGCTACATGGTAAATCAATCTGCAAGAGGGGGAGTCTCACCTCCAATCACTTTTACTCAAGAGGACACGATGGATGTACATTATCCTCACTGTGATGCCTTAGTGATAAGGGCCGTCGTAGCCCGCAACGGCCTGAAAAGAATGTTTTGTTTGGTACCATCTTTGACAAGATGAAAGTCGACCACGAGCTTACCCCAGTAAGTTCTCCTTTGTATGGTTTCACAGGGGATAGTATTATCCCCCGGGGCAAGACCACTCTAGCAATAGAGATAGGGGTAGAAGCCCAGATCGCTCGCCATTTTATGGAATTCCTTGTGGTGGATAACCAATCCGCCTACCATGGGGTATTTAGAAGACCCGCCTTAAAGGAACTATGGGCGGTAACCTCAATCCACCATTTGTGCATGAAGTTCCATACCGAAAACGGCATCGTCAAGTTCGTAGAGATCAGAGAGGAGCTAGAGAATGCTACTCAAACTCCCTGAGAAAAGCCGAAACAAGAACATACGTTATTTTTGCTAACGTTGATATAGACGACCCCTCTGAACAAAGGGAAGATGTCTTCATGACTGAAGCTCCTGAAAAAAAGATCAATTACTGAGGAAGCAATCAGTCTGGAAGAACTAGACCCTCGCATCATTGATTACGAGCCTCGAACAGCTCCAATAGAGGAATTGGAAACCTACCCAGCTGACCCTATGGACTCAACAAAGTGCCTGCAAGTGGGAAGCAATTTGCCACATGAAATGAAGGAGAAGTTGAAAAACGTCTTATGCAAAAACCTTGATGTATTCACCTAGAAGCATGGCGACATGATAGGCGTCGACCCAAAGGTCAGCTGCCACCATCTGAATATTGATCCTAAAGCCACGGCTCACATATAAAAAAGGAGAGCCCTCAACCCAGAAAGATATGAAGCCCTGAAGAACGAAGTCAAGAAACTGATTGACAATAGCTTCACTAGGGAGTCCGTGTATCTGAAGTGGGTCTCCAACCTAGTTCTGGTAAAAAAGCACAATGGGAAATGGAAGGTGTGTATCGATTTCTCGAATTTAAACCAAGCCTGCCTAAAGGACAACTTCCAACTCCCAAGGATAGACCAGCTTGTAGACTCAACTGCTGGACATGAGCTCCTCAACTTTATGGATGCCTACTCTGGGTACAATCAAATCCCCATGTTCCCACCGGATGAAGACCACACTTCCTTCATAACGGATAAGGGACTCTATTGCTACAAGGCTATGCCCTTCGAATTAAAGAATGCTGGGGCAATGTACCAGAGGCTGGTTAACAAAATGTTTATCGACCTCATCGGCAAATCCATGGAAATGTATGTAGACGACATGCTGGTGAAGTGCCAGAAATCAATAGATTCCATCTACCATGGCATATGCCTTCCTTTTATAAGGCTGAATGTCAAGGAATAAGCCTTCACATAGATGAAGCATCTACCATGTGAGGAAGCTTGCACCAGCACATGCCTTCCTACGACGAGGCTGAACCTCAAGGAAGAAGCCTTCACATGGATGAACTATCCACCATGTGAGGAAACGTGCTGTCACGGTACAAGAACTTTAGCTTGTCCTCGTGTGGCACTTAGTCGATTGGTTTCCCCAAAATCCAACTAAGTCAGCTTTCCCAGAAAATGGAAGCTTAGATAGGCACACTTTCTTACAATGCACAAGAGTTTTGGACTGCTCAAAGAGAGGTTTTTATTATGTACAAATGGTATGTACAAGTAATAGTACAAATGAGTACAATAGAGTACTAGAACACTTTTTCTATGTGTTTATGTATGTATGTATGTATGTCCATTACAAATGGCCTAGGTGGGTATTTATAGGCATCACACCTCCTTAATATGTGGTGGAGATTCTAGAATTCTTTATACAATTCTCAAGCATACAACTTTGTCTAGGATGTTCTAGAATCTTCCCATGCCTTATGTACATTCTCTAGGTAGTTCTAGAATGTTGGGGAGATTTCTTACCCATTTGAAGTTGCTAGATATTTNTAGGTGTTGATAACCTCCTTAAATTTCCATAAGTCCGTTTCCTTTTCCCAACTTACCTCGTCATCAGGCAAGCCTTTCCATTTTACTAGGAATTCCATATGATTAGGAACACCCCGCTACCGAATGATC